TGTTGATTTTTTTCATTCTATCAATATTTACACATTTTAATGACATCAAAATTGAGTAATTTTAATTTCATTTCATTCCTCCTATCAAACCACTTGTAGTGACTGTAAGCATGCAAAAATTACAAAACATTTAACTTTTCAATTAACATACCAAAATTTTCAATTACACTTTAAGTGTTTGATTTTAGCTTGTCTTTACAAACAATTGAAAGCTTTGGTTTGTTAATTGAAAAGTTGAATGTTTTGTAATTTTTGCATAATTACAGTCACTACAGGTGGTCTGATAGGAGGAATGAAATTAAATTAAAATTACTCAATTTTGATGTCATTAAGATGTGTAAATATTGATAGAATGAAAAAAATCAACACGGTGTCATTCAAAAAATATACATATTGATTCCTTGAGAAATTTTAGAAAGTTAAATTATAATGCAGGATCATTTAGCGCAACCTTACCTCAATGTTATGAATCTAATAAAATCATCTTAATCATAATTTATATCAATCATGATGATAATACAATATTTGAAGCAAAATACTATCAAATACTTTGCTTCAAATTATTTAAGATTGCTATAAATGATTGTAGAAAATTTATTTAACTCTAGAAGTATCAAATTTACGTTTACAATATAAAAAAAAATGTCACAGTAACACTGATAATATTAGAATAAACATGCGTGTATGAACATAAAATTAGCCTTCATGTGAGTTGGGCTGGCATGCTAGCCATCTTACCACCATAAGTGGCGGCAACAACACACTTGCCCAGTCATATGCACAAAAACTATAGTGATAGCAGATGAGATTGTGATTCAGTGTTTGGGCATTTCCTCCTGCACTGAAATATCCTATACTTGAAGCTAACTGACCTTAGAAAAAAATTTCTATAATAATATTACTTTTTAATTAAATTAAAATTGTGTCTAAACACTTTTCCTATATAAAAAAAAAATGAAATTTTCTCCACAAATTTCAAAAATTTATTGATAATATGTAAAAAATTATATAACCTCCCCATAAGTATAAAACCCTAATTAGAAAGGGGAAAAACTCACATTTTCTTAGTTCTTCATTTGCAAGCTCTATATATATTTATCTTAAAAATGATTAAACACTATCCTCAATAGGTGGGATGTAATTTCTTCTTGCAAGGTCCAATGCATGCATACCAAAAACGCTAAATTGTCAATTATAGGTGAAATTGAGATAAGGAGTCTTGCGTCATGATATCTTCCTCATGGACAATAGTTATTTCTCTTGCAAAAGTTAAATGTTGAATATGATAAGTTAAGCATGGGAGATTTTGTGAGTGACACGCTCATGATATATTGCATGCATTTAAATCATTCTATCAGACGACAAATGTGATCCCTTTGATCAAATGATATTTAATGGGTCTTTAAGTTTATGTATGTGTTGAATTTTGGTATGTTCGTGAATCACACCAAATCAATAAAGTTTATGGCAGAAGAGAGAGAGAGAGAGAGAGAGGAGAGAGAGAGAGGAGAGAGAGAGAGAGTAATGAGCAATAATTTGAATAATTGTTGATTAGCTTTTTAACGTGAAATGGTCCCTCTTTTTATAGAGGAGATGACACAATATATGAAATTACTTGTCTACCCCGTCTTTAAAGGAGATGTTACAAGATATTTTAGATATTTTACTTGCATGGGCCTTTGGTTCGGTTACCTTATGGCTCACTTTGTTGAAATCAATTGGTTCTGATTTAACAAAAGTTGTTCATTTGATCGTGCTGAATCTGGTTTGCTGGTTGGCCTTTAACGGTTTAGATTAGCAAGGCTCGACAAAATTGACGTGGCTCTGTCTATCGACTATGCTAGTCTGCTTGTCGGATATTGATTCTTGGATAATGAACTCAGGACTGCAAAGCTAGGCTAGGTTATCGCGCAGAAGGTGAATCACTTAAATATGACAAATAGCTTGCTCGTTGATGAGACGATCTTTTAGGGATGCTTCGTGAGGTTATGTGACAACCAGTTCTCGAGCCCTGGTGAGGCATTCATGACATAACTGTCAATGTTGCATTCTTCCCTTGAATCAGGTTATAACTAGGGGCAAATCGACGCCTCCGCTCAGCTCGATTAACTTTAGTCTTTGGTCGGGACGACCCTCACTCGGTTAACCTCCAATGCCAATTCAGGAGAGTCACATCTGATTAGACAGATAAAGCGATGCTCTGCTAGTGAATGTTCACTCTTCTGCTGATAAAACCTCTGTCTCCCGCTGGTGGATATTTTGTTTTCTGTCCATGAGCCCTCAACCTTCCGTCCATGAACCCTCCCTGGACATAATATTTTGTGCTTTTTGTTCATCATTTCCATGAGATTCATGACGACATGTATATGATGTACATATTACATAAAGATATACAATAAATCTATGCTCCCCCTCACTTGGCATAATAAATTTCAGAATGCCAATGAAATTAAATAAACTTTTAGAAATTGCAAATCGGGCAACATTACACTAGAAGTTACATCATTTATTCGCTCAGCATAATTTGGTTGGTTGAGAAATTTGACCCGAGCAAGGTCTAGAATTCAATATTTTTGTTTTTTTTTTAAATGTTTTTTAAAACAATACGTAGAGTTTCAACCACAGAAAGAATCGGACAAGGAGAAAAAATCACTGAGAGCTTTTCCTTCCTTTCTCTACCCCCGCTCGCATTCCTCTGCGCGCTTTCATCGTCCATGTCGGTATCTCGCCTGTTCGTATCTTTTATCTTATTGGCTTGCTTGTACTTGCTGCCGTCTTACGGATCCTTCGCGGCTCCGCCCCTCTGCTCTCGATCTGATCTCGCCGGAGTTGCGGATGAACTTAGGTCGCAGTGCCCTCTGTGGATCGAGCGTTTTGTGCCGGAAGAGGTACGGCTGCTTGACTGCTATCCATTTCAGTCTTTCGGGTGTGTGTGCGAGGGTTTTGTTTGTATGTGAATTCGAGGGTTTTGTTTGAAGGGGATTTTTATTGCACGCGTATTGTTTGTTTGCCGGCGCTGACAGGTCACGATTTGCAGCAGATTATGCTCCCTTGCGATGGATGATGCACAGTTTGTTTAGGGTTTTTTCTTTTTAATTAGTTAAGACTTTTCTTTTGATGACATTTTTTTTTTCTTCGTCTAGGTCTAGTTGGAATGCGATATGTTGTTCTTTGATGTATGTTTCATTATCATTTTTTTCATTATCTATTGTTATAATTGTGTTTTGCACTGGATTGATAACTTATTGAAATTGGAGTCAGGTTATTTTGTGTAAAAATTTTATTCTTTGTATCGGGAAGTTTTATGAAATGCTGATGGCGTTGTTTGTGAGGACTTCTGGATTATTGGACTTGTTTGATCATTCTAGATGAATAGGGTGGTATATGAACTGATGCCCTTTCCACTTCCAAGCGTTGGTTTTGGTAGGCAACTTAATGCTTAGATGCAATATGATTATAGTTTCAAGCAAGTAGAACTGTGCCATATAGCTGGAAAATGAGTGATATTGGCTTTTGTAATGGTCTTCTCGGACATTTTTTGGAATCAAGATATTAGGGGCGCTTTTTTGTGTTTTTTTTTTCTTGCTTTCAAGTGGAAAGTTGAGTTGATTTGAGTATATCTGATGTTACATGGAAAGCATATATGTAATGGTTAGATTGCCTCATTGGAGAAGAACAATGCTGTAATAATTTGATATTAATTTTTTTTTTTTACCATAGAACCTATATAATTTGCATTTGTGTATGATTAATCTGAGATTAATTACTTTTCCTGGCTCTCACTTTAGATATTATAAAATTTAATATACGGCCCTTAGATGTGATTCTTTAGGGTTTTACATGAATTTAGTCACAACACGGATAAAATAGACAATTTTAGGTCTAGCATGTCATAAGTAAATCTTTCCACATTTCTTCATTTGCGGTTCTTCAATCGTTGTTGTCTTTTGGATTATATTGAAGTTTGATTGAGTTACATAGAATTTCAACACGACTGCATCTCAAACTTGCCCATATCTATCAACAAGTGCGCTATGTGTTTTTATTGTGATATAAAAATTTCATGTTGAGGGTGTGAAATCTTAAGGTTAATAAATTATTTTAGCTTTTATAGCTTTTTGATTTTAAAGCCTTTGAGCAATATTCTGTCTAATATTCAAGTTACTATCTATCATTATGTTCTCAACATAAACTATTATCGTTGAGACTTCCCTTAAGGCCTTGCATTTTATGAATAATATATAGTTTCATTGAATTTATTTGTATCCCATGTTGAGCGTCACTTTGGCCAAACTTTTGAACCATGCAACTGTCGAATGCTTCAAATCCGTATAATGTTTTTTTTAGTGTACACCATTTATTTTGTATTTGAACTAAAGCTTGACGGGGCCTCCATGTACACTTCATTTTCTAGGTTACCATGTGAGAAGGCATTTTTAACATTGAGTTGTTGCATGTTCGAGTCCATTTTAGCTTCTAATATTTGAAGGACGTAAATAATTTTTTAAAGCATTGGTAGCAAATGTTTTAAGGTGACCAATCCTATATATTTAACTATAGCATTTGGCAGTCAATTTGATTTTATAATTTTTTCAGTGAACCATCTGATTTGTATTTTATGGTAAAATCCATCGTTATCTAATTATTTTTTCACATATTGACGATTTTAACAATTTTAATGTTTTATTTTCTTGAATAGCTTTCATTTTCTCCTTCATAGCATTAGTCTTAGGGATGTCAAATTGTGTTTGCGTGTTAGGTTCGGGTTTAACCTGAACCCCAACCCAACCCAAATATTAAAAGGGTAAAAAAATTCAAACCGAACACGACTCGCCAATTTGAAGCAACCTGCGAACCTGAACTCGATCCGCCAACCTGAACCCGACCAACACAACCCATTTAACATAAGAAATAACAACTATTGGGGTAAAAAGTGCGTCAAATCCGGTTTGGCAGTTTGATTTTGAGTCAATTTAAGGTTGTCAGGTTAGTTTTGGGTAATTTTTAGATTGGCGGGTCAACCCAAACCATACCCAAAAAAATAAACCGGTTAAGATTTTTAACCCGACTCAACTCAAGAATTATTCGGGTCAATCCGAACATGGATTTTTCGAGTCAGGTTCAGGTCAAGTTGGCTTGTCGGGTCTAAATTTGACACCCCTAATTAGTCTTATCAACACTACTTCACACCTCAAAGATTGCATTGAGGGTATAAATAGTTTGCATGTTACTAAGGAATGTTTGGTGATTACAAGACTTTTTTAATACTATAAACAAGCGTAGAGGATGTTCATTGGAAGCTCTTATACCCTTTTTAATCAAGACTCCTTTTAGTAGTTGGATCAATAGTTTTCTTCTACTGATAGAGATTGATTTGGTTTATTGATCTTGCTTGCAAGTGCTTTCTTTTTAAGTAGACCTATAAGGGATGAGTAGAATATGATTTAAGTGCATAATCAATTCGGGTAGGAATATGACATGTAGAAGTAGCTAGGTATGAGACAAAGTTGTTTGATGGGATGGGTGGCAAGGAAGGGTAACCAATGAGAAAAAAATTATCTTCATCTTTTTTGAATGATTTTGATAAGATATCAGAAATTAAATAATGTTTTTTGTTGAAGAAGACATCAATGGACACATTGCCTTTCTTGTAGGTGTAGTCGCATTTTGTTTTTTTGGGAGAATAGCCCATGTGTCCCGATGAATGAGAATAAAGATGGAGGTTCTTGTGTCACTCATTGAAATTTTGGTACATTTGTTTTTAGCAGCTTATAAATATCACAATAAGCTTCTTTAATATTGATTCTTTGAATAATGAAGCAAATATAATTTTGATAACAATAAGCGATGGGTTGATTATGGCGTAAGTGCTGAAGCTAGATTTTTTCTTTATTATATTTAAGAGTTTTTGATAGAATAGAAAATACTAAATTTGTATGAAATTTTGATGATTATTGGATTCCTCAAGATGGTGGAGTCTATTTCTTTATTTATCAAGTTCCATTGTCCTCCTTGTGTCATGTTCTTAAAGAGCACAGTATGAAAAAAAAAAAAACAATATTGTTATTCCATTTCCAGATGTATAACAAGTTAAAATAATTTAGGCACTTGTAGGAAATTTTAGAATGCAATGATGCATCGATAAGATTTGTTTATAAAAATATTTTCTTGACCGAGTGCAGTCATCAAGGATTTATTTGGAATCATTATTTTCTTATTTCTAGAGCAAGAAGTATATGAAATAAAATTGTATGAGGAGTTTTTATATGATTTGTGGCTCTTAATTTAATGATCCCTAGTAGTTAGAAAATGGTATCGCTTAGAAAAGAACGAGAAGAGATAATAAACGAGAAGAGTTAATACAAAGAAATATAGAGTATAAATGTCCTCCTTTGATGTTTTTTCTGTTATTCTAGCTAATGTTTCAATTACTTTATTTTTTCTTTGCGGAACTCAATGGGGGAGTCTTTGTTGTTTTCTTCTTCGGCTTGTATTATATATTCATGTTTTCACTCCTTTACTAGTTTTTAAGTGTTGTTTTATTTTTGTTTTGTAGCCTTCCATAAAGTTTCCAACATCTTTCTTTTTATTGTCAAGTTTTTTTATAATAAGTGCATTATATAGTGTCTATTTTAACCATTTTGCTAGGGTATTGTGCTCGTCATCTTTAGTTGGAAAAGTCTTTTGGAGTTTTGATATTAGTGGTTGACATTAAGTATGACCCTCTTTGGGTTTATTGGTATTCATGAGTCTCCATTTCCCTTATTTAGTTTAGATGATGGCAATGGCTTCTTTTAGTGATGTTTCATACTCTTAAGACTTCAAACTCAACAATTAATCGAACAAGAAAATCATTTTTTTAAATCTTTAAAGCAAATAAAAATTTAAAAAGAGTCGCATCGTTGTTGCACTCCATTTGGACTAGGATTTGTAATCGAGCGAGTCGAGCCGAGTATACCATAATTGGACTTGGCTTGATACAATTTTAAGTTGTTAATGTTCTGCTTAAGCTTGTTTTGAGCTTTCACATCTTGACTTATTTCAATTTTTCAATACTTAATTTGTTTATAACAAGTGAATCATTATTTAAATGAGCTAAAAATTCACACAATTATCTAGTTTTTATAGAAAAAATTCAATAGATAGTTTTATAAATCTAAATAAATGAACAATTTAATAAAACATATACTAAAATAAACTAACCCACATGATCTCATCTAAAATATTAAAACATAATAATCAAAATAAATTCAACATTAATATTTACCTCTCACTCATACCACCCACCATTTAAACAAGAATATAACATGTCATCAACATTTAAATTTTTAATTTAAAATTCTATATTACTCTCATCAGCTAATTGATTTTCATCAGAATCATCGACATAATAAATTATTTATTTCGTATCTTATCCTTAGTCATATATATATTCTCCCATTCATTATTATCTTTAATCCCAATTATTTTTTATTTTTTAATGAATCATCATCAATAAAACTCTTAATTAAAATGACAACTATGTTGATAATTAAAATTTCAACTACATACATTTTTATAGATTATTTTTTTTATTACTTATTATTTAGTGTGTAAGGGTGTATGTTAATAGATAAGGTATATTGATATTATTTTTAGTTTTATTTTTAAAAATTATGAATAACCTAAAAATTTTGAGGTGTTTCTTGAGGCGAGGCGTGCCGAGGCATGCCCAAGGAACGCCTGTGCATGGGTGAAGCGTATGCCTCACCTTGTCACAATGAGCCGCATGCTTTTGACGCTCGTGTCCGCGGTATTGTGGAATCCCTCAAAACACGTGATTGTAGGAGTCCCTCCATTATCAAGATTACTTATTTCCATTTTTTTCTTTATTGCCAACAAATTTTCT